TGTCCGCATTCAATTCACACGGACCGACCGTCACGCAGAGAACACGCGATCGTGCAGGATACGTAAATATATTTAATATATACACAAAATTTTTCTGAAATATGTACATGCATGTGTGTGTATTTATATATACACATAATAAATATATACAATACACATACATATATTACGTAAACGAAAACTTTTATTTTGAATGCGATTAATCGTTTGACGGCACTAATTAATAATCAGTAAGATATTTCAATATCTTGGAAGTAGGGCTGTGCAAAAAATCGAATGCGATTTTCATGCGCATCTCGTCAGTAAAGCCGCTCCTGTTCACAATCGCAGGCGATTTTATGATTATAAACGCGATTTTGTGTAGCTTGTCAGTGAACTACGGCTCTGTGTAATAAATGCCGTGATGGAGATTTACTACTAATCACAGAACCGGCTTTACTGACGAGATGCGCATGAAAATCGCATTCGATTTTTTTGCACAGCCCTACTTGAAAGCGATAACAGGTGTCTCTTTTTATAAACTGATGATAATAGTGCTCTGTTCCTGTCCAAGTATTGGCGCAACTTAGTAACCAGTGCATCTCTCAGCGCCCTCTGCTGGTGAACATAATCACTACACGGCTGCTCTGGACTGCTGTAACGTACCGACGGTTCCCGGTGGGCAGGGCTGCTTGGCCACAAGGGCCTGCCATGTTTTGGGCCAGGTGATGGAGGAGTCGGTGAGGGGGCTGCAGAACTCCACAGCGATGTTGGGCAAGACGGAGGACGGGTCAGAGCGCGCCGTGACCTCGGGAAGAGCCGGTCTGTGGTGGTGCTGCATGGGGCCGCCGGCGTCGTGGAGGGAGATCGGGTGTTGCTGGTCATGGTGGTGCTGGTGGAGGCGGTCGCCATGGTAACGGTGACCGGGCGAGTCGTGGTGTGTGTCATCGTCGTGTCCATTAAGACGTTTCCTGAGGAGGAAGTTTCTGGAATCAGAAGAAAAAATAGAGCTATAAAACAGATAGTTCTGCTCCTTGATTCTGATTGGTTGAGCCAGGTTCGAAGCTGTTGTAAGTTACTCTACAAACATACACCTCTTTGTTTCTGTGTGTTGCTTGGCAACCAATTTGTTGCAAACACAACCATTTCTGAGGAACTACATTGTTTGGCAGAAGAATAATTGCTGCGTGCCAATTAGCGTCCTAAACAGTATTCGAAAATAGAATTAGTCTGTCCCAAATCGTAGTATGTTGAAAAGAGCATGCCATAGATTCCCGGATGGTCTACTACTTGAGATTAAAATTCGAAGTGCAGATCGATGCACTCTCTAATGGCTAATACTGCCCACAACACATTGCGCGGTGGATGAGGATTCGATTAGAACTACAAACATGCATAAAAAGTGTTTCAAAACTACAAACATGTCGGTTATATATATATATATGAATATAAATATAGACATGTAAATATTTTCAAAATATACAGTATACTGTATGAGTGTGTATTTATATATACATAATAAATGTACACAGAACACACACATATATTATGCAAACAAAAACTTTAACTTGTATTAATCGCAATTAATCGTTTGACAGCACTATTATTAATATATTAACTATTTTTGATAGAGTACTACTCTTTGTTTGTTATGCAAGCAATTATTTCCGTCATAAAATAAACATGTTAAAATATAAGCTAAAATTAAAAAAGTCACAATTATGATTAATAAAAATGTTAACATATAATTACGAGAAATAAACTAAGATTTATTATGAATTTATATCACAATTTTTCTCAGAATTCTGAAGACAAAAAATGTCTGATTTTCTAGAATTTTGAAAAAAAAGGAGAAATGCAAGATATAAAGTCAGAAATTGTGAGTTTATGTTTCACAGTTATTCTCAAAAAAAGTCCGAATTATGAGAAACAAACAAAAAAAAAAGATTGCGATCGTTGATCGCGCATCTCTAGTGAAGCTGAACTCTCCTCCTGTCCGCATTCAATTCACACGGACCGACCGTCACGCAGAGAACACGCGATCGTGCAGGATACAAATGCACACTTCACAAGATCTCACAACTGGATCCGACTAAGTTTGCAAGCTTTGTGAAATTAGATATTAATTAGTCATTCAAAGATTTGTTTAAATTATATAAATGTGTATTTGCTGAATGCTGACGGCAAACAATACAGTATTATAATGTTTGCCTTTCTATTACTAATAATATAAAATCAATCGTTATAATACTTTTTGTATACATTTTAATTCCTTTGTTTAACCGTTCTATCTGATTATTAGACAGACTTCTATCCGTATTAGACAGAACTGTTAACGACGATGGCGAACAAGAGGGAGAATGTGCTGTCAGCGCCGTCAAAATAAAAGTCCCGCCTCGAAAGCATCGGCCAAACAGGAAAACTTATCAGCCGATGCCGATATGTATAAAAAATAAAAAAAAAAAGCCAAATATCGGCCGATATATATGCCATGGCGATATATCGGTCGACCACTAGTTTGTACAGTATAAAAACCATTACGCCTATGGAGAGTCCCCGTAAACCACAAATGCAAGTATGTGTGTGTGTGTGTGTATCTGACAGTATCTGTGGCATGCTATCATTTACCACAGACAAACATTCTGACTCATCCCTCGGTACATAAATTTACATTTTTATAAACCCTGAGTTAGATAAAGGTAAACATATTTGGGTGATGGAGGGCCTGTATTATTTATAATACGCCTTCCTGTAGCTCAAACTGTAGAGCATGGCACTAGCAGGTCATTAGTTCGATTCCCAAGAACTGATAAAATGTGTACATTGAATTTAATGTAAGTCACCTTTAGATAAAAGTGTCTGCCAAATGCATAAATGTAAATGTAACTATCAGAAGAACAGCAGCAATAATCACCCTCAAAAACTTTACTACCATTATATATTAATATAATATACAATATAATAAAAAATAAGTATGAATTCACCCCTTTAAATTAGATTTTAACTTCTGTTACATGATGAGATAGGACATTGTGACTAAATAATATTTAGAAATTTCTTTATTTAATCATTTATTTAAAAAAAAATTATGATTAATGTTGCGATGTAGCACCGTCTCTTTTCTCCACTGTTATTGCGAAAGAAAAGCTGATATTGGATGGAGGCAGATCTGAATGTAAGCTTGCAGTCGATTGTAAGAAAGGGGCGAAGTTAAACATCACCCAGAGAAGTCTGTTATTTCGCCCGAAGATTGAGTTATGATATTTTGATAAAAAATTACATAGTCAAAAAAAGTAATATTGTTCACAAAATATTCATAAAATAGATTTTATGAAATGAATGTTTATAAAAATAGACATTTACAGGCTCAAAAAAAATAATGGATAAATTGTTTGCATTAAGTTCATTGAGATGCATTTATAAAATAGATGATGAATTTCAATTTCATTCGACTTTAAGTGTATATACATCAGCAGGCAATATTGTGTCATTTTTTAAAGTAGACACTGAATAGAATAGCCCCAAAAGATCTTTTAGCCAATAGAATCGTTTAGGTGCCCAAAGGGGGATGTGATTTTGCCAGGGAATAGGATTTTGCACAACGCCTGAATATTCCTTTCAGTGAGCTCTTTTGTGCTGCTGATCTTTCCACACACACACACACACACACACACCAGCCAGGCCTTTCCTCCCTTTCAATCTTATCTTTAACTGACTCTTTCTCAGCATCTTTTTTCCTCACTCTTGGTTTAGTTTTCTCCCTCTCTTTCTCCCTCTCAATTGCTTCTGAAAGAGGATCAATAATTCAAGAGAGCAAATACAATGTGAACCGTTTCTCACATCATCTCTCTGAACATATCATACTCTCTCTCTCTCTCTCTCTCTCTCTCTCGCTCTCTCATAAAACATAATCTTATGTCATACTTGTTACAGAAATGTATTTGTGTTGAAGTAATGTCTTAATAATGGCCCAATTGGCATAATTTCTGTAAATGCAGTGGATTTAATGTATGTAGTGTGTTTTATGTTTTGCTATCGTTGCTGCGCTAATATAATGTTTGTTATTTTGGTGATTTTTTATTTATTTATTTAGACCTGGCCAGACCAATTAGCAGACCAAATCATGGTTAAAAAGACCTTGCAAAAGCTTTCTCTTTGAATTTTTTTCATTGCTTTTATTTTCTGTTTGAATCACACATTGATCCTGTTTCTTTGTTTTTCTGCACTTTTCCTTTATGTTGGTGCTTGTTAATCCCATAGCTGTGTGTGACTGCACACGATGGCATGATCCTATAATCTTCAAATCGATCGACGACTCAGTCTCACTGATCTCTTTTCTCTTTTGCCAGCAAACACATATCAGTGACTGAGAAATAGTCAGCATGCACTCTACTCAGCATTCACCTCTTTCTACATATGAAGCACTATATGTACCTAAGCGTTTTAATTCCATCTGGAGCATTATTCATAACCTGAATTTACATTCTAAACTGCTGACAGCATTAGCTTCATTGCTAACATTTCATTCCCATTGCATATTGCATTTAATGCTCTGCTCCTGTTGGTTTATGTGAGATGGCACTGTTATTGTAGCACAGCGTTGAGGTCCCATGGGTAAAAAGTGTGAATGAGGGAGAGAGGCCTGCTGGACTTGAGAGGTTAAAGGGTGAAGGAGCATGAGAGAGAGAGACTGCCTCGGAGTGGAGTGCTGCTGGTTAATGAAGGATGAAGGAGAAAAAGACAGAACAGATAGAAAGAACAAGTACTGCAGAGAATATAAAAGTGTTCATGTTATCGCAATTTTTTTTAACATCTCTATATCAGCAGTCATTCCATCCTGATGACCGCATTATTCCTTGCACATTAAATATTGATAAATTCACCTGTGATGGAGCTCAGTTCTTTCTGTCTCCTGTAATGCTTGAGATGTGATTTTGTTTGGCAGTGTTGGTATTGAACTGGCCCAGTGAGACATGCAGCTCTGTTCTTTAGCCTAAAAAACTGTTTTCTTTCGGTTTCAGGTGCTTTTGTCTGGACTGATCGGAGTGGTGTCTTGGAAAAGGCCCCTTTCTTTGGTGGTAAGAAATGAAGTATAGTATACTAAGAAGCATGTGGTGTTTTTTTCATGTATGTGCACACGTCCCCCCTAATATTCATCATATTTGTTCAATTGATATGGGATTTTTAATGGTTCATTCTACCCATGCAAAATATTACAATTCTGGTGCAGTGCGATTTATTCCTGTGATGGGTCTTCTTCAGTGTCACATGATCCTCTAGAAATCATTTTAATATTTATTAAAATTAGTTTGTCTAAATAAATTAAACTGAAAAGTCATTTGAAATTAATTTTTTTTTTACAGTATGAAAAATGGATAATAATTTTGAGATTTGTTAAAGATTAGATTCAACAGT